CCCGGCCTCCTCAGAGTTGCTGCCCCAACCTCCCTCTCCAGTGGTCTCGGGCCACTCCCCCCTTACCTCCGGTCGCGACGCCGGTTCCCTGCCGTCAAAACCCTCCCCTCCGGATCCTGAAGCACAGCTGGTCGCGGATGCTGCTGCCCGGCTTCCTCCTTCCTCCTCGGATGAAGAGCCGGGGGCGCCTCCCGCTCTGCCCTCTGATACGATCCCTTCGCTCTTTCTACATAACTATCGCAGCAACGTTGTTCACGCGGCCGTACGCGTTGAAGCCCACGCTGCCCGAGGACTCGAGGTCTCCGACCCTTCCGGATCCGGCACCCTTTGGGTTCGCCCCGCTTGCGGCTCGCAAACCTACCAGTTGGCTCCGGACTCACTGTGCAGCTCGATTCCCTCCGGCACCACGCTTTGTCTTCGAACTGCCTGTCTCACCCGATTTTCGGCGGCACCCTAGCCAGGGCGACGGTGCTCTTCGGTTAAAAGTTGCTCTGTCCCTAGTCGGCTTTCTGCTCCGAGTTGCGCCTGCCTCTGCTCTGCTTCTCACCGCAGCCGTTTTGGTTCTCCTTGCCCCCTTGCTGTCGGTGTCCCTCTCCTGTCTTCTGTCGTCATGGCTGACCCGATCGAGGACTACTCTCCCGCCGCCGTTCCGCCCGAGCCGGCAGGCCGTCTGGACCTCGACTTGCTGCGACGCCTGGCCACTCTGGAACAACGAGTGAGAGATGTGGAGTCCGGTCTTACAGCCGTCCGGACAGAGATTACGGAGGATCAAAACGTCACCCGTCACTTCCGGGCCTCTGTGGGGAACCTCATCGAGCGCTCCAACGCCTTGATGAATGAGTACACCTTCATGCAGCGTTCTCGGTCGGCATTCCTGCTGGCTTTCCGCGCTGCCCTCACCTCGGTGATTGATGCGCTGCTCCTGTTCCGTGACAACGCGGTCTGACCCTCGCCGGCGTGGTGTGAAACAGCGTTTTGCTCCTTGCCTGCCGGTCGGTCCCGCGTCACTTCTTTCCGCAGCTGTTTTGGCTCTTTCCCTCCCCTGCCTATTGTCCTGCGGACCCTGGTCTCTCATGGCTTCAGCTCGCCTGGACGATGCTTCGGAGGTCCCTCGACTTCTTGCGGACTGGAGCGCCCCGCCTTCGGTGGGTGTGCGCCTCAAGGCCGCTAACTTTCTCACGCTGGGGCAGATTGCCTTCGCAATCCCCCCCGACGCGCCCATCGACCAATTCGTGGTGTCCGTCCTCGGAGTCGCCGAGGACAACGCCCTCATGACCAGTCCGGAGGCCGCGATTCTCCGTCGTCTGGTCATTTTGGCTCAGGACTCCATCCCGGGTCCCCCGGCCCCGTCCTCCTCCTCCGGCCTTCCATCCGGTCCGGTGTCTTCGAAACTGTCCCCGGATGCGGTTCTTAAGCTCCGGTCTCTGTTTCAGAAATCATACCCTGGGGAGCTTCTTAACAGGGACACCACGCCATCAGTGGAGTTCCTGTCGGCTCTCAAACAACAGATCGACTCCAAGTCCTCCCCGTGGATTGCTTGGCGCTTCCGGACGTCTGAGCAAGATGCGGCGACTTGGCAGGAGTCACGCCGCCCTCGATCTGACCGTCAGCTCCTCCGGACTCTCTTGGAAGTCGACGAAGAGCCATCCGGTCCGTCGATCCCCATCCACAATTCTCATCCGGTGGAAGCTACGGTCCGTCGCGCCTGCGCAATGCTCGCGACAGCGCTGGCCATGTTGGAGGTCGTTCACCTCCTGGTCATTAAGCGGTTCAATGACCGATTTCTGTCTTTTGCGTTGGCCCAACCCCTCGACTCCACCCTCCGGGCACCCTCCTTGGCTGAAATTCTTGCCGCTGACCGGGCTGTCTGGGAATCCGTTTGGGCTCTCATCCGAGATCATGGTTGGTCTTTGTCTGATTCTCTCAACGAGATTGCCTTCTGCCGTCAAGACATCTCGTCTGCTCTGCAGCCTCGGCCTCGTCCTCCGGCTCCGGTCCGTCCTCCTCTCGCGTTGCAGCCTCGCCTGCCCCACGCTCCGGACGCTGGCAAGAAACGCAAACCGACGGCCGATTCCCCGACTCCGGCCGTTGCCAAGGGCGCTCCCAAAGCCAAGGCCAAGGCCGACCCCAAAGCTCGCCCCAGTCCCAAGAAGAAGACGATCGCGGACAAGTGGGATCCGTCCTGGGCCACGCACATCGACGGCCACGAACTTTGTAAAAAGTTTGGGCTCGGCAAGTGCAAGAATAAGAACTGTCGCTTTGCCCCCTCCGGACACCGTTGCCCGGTCCCGGATGCCGCCGGAAACCCCTGTGGCCAGGAGCACAGTGCAGTGGAGCACCTTGCGGCCGGTCATTGACTAGACCGCCAATCGTCCACTGCCAAGGCTTCTTCACCGGTTCCGACCGCTGCACTGATACGTCTGCAGCCGGTTCCTTTACAGCTTCCGGTCCCCGTGGCTGCGACTCACCCTACGAGCCCCACAGCCCCTGATCCGGTTCCCGCCGCGGTCCCTGTCCCCACGCCCCGTTCTCAGGTTCGGTTCGGGCCAGCACCTCAGCCGCCTTCTCAGTCAGCTCCTCCTCCGGCCGACCATCCTTCCGAGGCCTTGCCTCCTCCTCGGTTCTTTTTGGACTTGTTCTCTGGTCACGCCGCTCCTCTGTCTACGGCCATGTCCAGGCTTAAGGCCAACAGATTCTCCCCTGTTGACTTACTGGTTACCCCGGCCTCTGACATTGCCAGCGATGGTGTTTTCAATGACCTCAAGGAGTTGTGCGCCTCCGGGCTGGTAGGTGCTGCTTGCGCAGCTCCTCCTTGTGCCTCCTTTTCTCGAGCCCGTCTTCGTCCTGGCGGCCCTCCCCCGGTTCGTACTCCTGCTTTTCCTACCGGGGTCCCCGATCCATCCGCGGCAGGCGCCACAGAGTTGAAGGTCTCCGCGCTGCTCCATCGGCGTACGCGCGAGCTCCTGGCCCTCGTGTCTGCCGCTGGCGGATTAATAGTCCTGGAGAATCCGGTCTCAAGCTTGCTCTGGCAAGATCCAGAGGTTGCGTCCTGGCAGAAATCCGTGGCTCCCTTTGCAGCATCCGTCGCTGCCTGTGCTCACGGCATCAACG